CTCTCTCCTGACAGCCCGTCAGTATCATGCAGCTCGCGGATCCAGTAATGAGTGACCCGACAGTAAAACTAAACATATCTATAACTAGTTTAGGTAGTTTGAGAGGTAATTAAAATAGCTACGTGTGATATTCTAACCTGAAGTGTGTGTTGCTCCGCTCACCGCTGCATGTGATCATGCAGAGCTGCGTGTGGACTCGTCAGCAGCAGCTGATCTCTCTCTCCCGTCAGATTAGACTTCACTCGCGTTTATGTCCATATCGATCAGATCTAGCTAGTTCTAGCTAATGATATGACTACCTGCTTATTAAAAGACACCTAAACAATAAGCGTCGCTCTGCAACCGGGTGAGGCCGCATAGTATAGCGCAGCATTATGCATTTGTTTACATGCCCACCGGAACCCAGAGGCATTACTATGGGCATAAATAAATCTCCTGGAGGTTCCCCATGATGTTGCTCTTTAGTGAAATATCTCCACAAATTGTGTGGATTTGGTATTTGTACCGAGATTCATGTTCCCCACAGGATGAATTGGGATTTCTTTGGTGATTCCAAACATTTCCTCGAACAAATCCAGTAACATCCGTGATGCGTCTTTGCAGGAACAACCCTCACCCATACATCACTGCTCTGGAGAACCGAGTGGACTGCTGGCCCGCTCTGCTGCTCGAGATTGATGACTTCATCCAGCAGGCTGCTGAGAGGTGAGCATGGCTGCCACACACTGAAGGCTCCATCCAATCACCCTCCTTCACTGCATGACTTTCAGAGCCATCTGTGGCAGGCATCGTTTCGCGATAACTCATCTAACCATCATCAGCTGTTATTATGTAGTGAAACAAATACATACAGATACAGCACCATACATACAGCATGGATCATTCTCTCTATAAGGCTTCAATATGAGGAATTTCCACACAGTATCAACCTTGACCGATTGATATTTGCCGACATAATATGGTGTCTGTATTTTCTGCAGGAATGAACCCGCCTACGTCACCATGCTGGCCCCCTTCCTGCGCTACCTGTACTGTGAGCCTCAGAGGCAGCCTCAGCACGCCCTGCTGCGCCACGGGCTCCTCAGGGTGCTGATGCCCTCTCACCCAGCAGCCGGATCACTCCTCCAGAACAAGGAGCAGGACCCGGTGTTTGAGAGCCTGCTGCACTGCCTCTGTCAGCTGGTGCCACACATGCAGGTAACAAACTAATATCAGATCAGAGCCCAGTCTGCTCTGATTGGTTTGCTGGCAGGTGTCCCACCCCTTAGGCTTTGTAGACCATTTACATGCACAATAGGGCCCCTTTAACAGGGTTTCCTCTCTTGCTGATAGGTTGACAGTGTGGAGGCGGTGCTGGAGTTCTGTGGGTTCGTAGACGCCCTGCTGCAGGTTCTGGTCCCGGCCCCTGAGCAGTGGAGGTCAGAGAGGGTGGGGTTGACCCTCCAGCTGCTGTGTGCCTGCAGGCGCTGCCTACGGCTGAATGCAGATTGCAGACCTCTTCTCAACCTATTACAGCAGCTCCTGCCGGCCTGCCAACAGGTGACACCAGCAACGATATGACCCAATAAAACTTCAGATTATTATTTTAATATTTTATTTATTGCACATTTTTAATTTGTTAAAACATTTAAAATAAATATTATTATCTTATTCAAAAAATTGAGCATACAAAAAAAAAATTCCCCACTAGGATAAATTCAGTGTTTTAATTTTGATAATATGTAAGATATATTTGTGCCAACTTTCATTGTTTATGTGTATAGGAGCTACCACTGGACGAGCTGTTGATGGGCATGGCCCTTCTCCTGCTAGAAGTCCCAGCAACCCAGCAGACCAGCCTGCTTAATCTGGGTAAAAAACCTCTTTCATAAATAAATTAAACAATATCTTTGGACAGCCAAGGGAGAGACATCCAGCACTCGAGATGTTTTTGAAGTCTGAACTTTCTCCTGTCAAACACTGGTACAAATCCCTTTCCCTGTGTGATGGGAGTCATCACAGACAGCTTATTCATTACAATACAGCAATGTATAATGCATTCTGTTTAGTAATGTATGGATTTGTTCATTGGATCATTCTGACTCATTGTATCTGTCTTGCATGTGTCCAGGTGTCATTTAAAAAAGCCTTTCCATCAGCTTATATTGCATCTTCTTTATTTTGGTCAAATATCATGCATTACCACTGACGTTACTGTCCATTTCTTATATGTGTTTAGAAATAGACAGAAACACAACCTGAGTTCATTTCTGCCCTGCATACAGTGCATCCATGCTAAGGGCTTTGTCTACAGAAGAAGAGGTCTGCATGGCTCTGCATGTAATACCTGCACATTGACTCAATATATTGATCCTGCATTTATGGGTTCCCATAGTTTTCATAATGACTTTCTTTACATTAATTGATCTGTACTGTAACCGTCACGTCTTATGAACATTCCTGAAAACGACTCTGCATTTGGTGTTTTCTACCTTATTTGTCCATATGGATTCTTTACCCCTCTTGTTGCCCTCCTTTGATTGGCAGCTCTGAGTCTGGTCCCTGAGCATGGGGAGCTGGCCCCCTGGCTGAGTCCGGTCCTGGTTCTTCCGGTGCTGCAGCTGCTGTCCTGCTTGGGCCTCACCGAGGCGCTGGCTGACCAGCGGAGGCACAGACTCAACCAGGACTTGGCCCACAGCCTCCTCCGCAGAATCAGCAGGGAGACGGATAAACTCTCACAGGTAACATTGAAGTCTGTGGGAGAGGAACTCCCTCTGGAGGGAACACAGGGATTTTAGCCTTTGCAGACCATTTACATGCACAAACAGGAGAGGAACATCAAAAACAATTATAGGGCCTCTTTACATGGGGAGCAGTGCATATTTCCAGACAGTCTCCCTTGGAAGATATCCAGATGTTCACATGAAAATGTATGAAATGTTCGGTTAAGGAATTAAAAATATAAACATTTGAGACTGAAGAACAAACCCTGGCTCCTTTCACAAAGGGTGGGCTTTCTGTTTTAATGCTTGACCTTTTTCAGTTGAAGATTATTTTATATATATGTGTCGATTTATAGATTTTAGCATTTTTCCCCAAGAAACAAATATTTGCCTTTCTCCTCCTCTCAGTCCAGCCCACCACTGGCTCTTCCTCTCAGTTCCTGGTACAACGAGCTCAGCGTGGCTCTCTCCGTACTGCGTAGAGTGACGGAGGACCCGGCGGCGGCAGCTGATTGGCTGCTGTCCGTCAGCTCGGCCCTGTCCTCCGGCCAGAGCCAGCTATGCTCCCTCAGCCTCATGGTGACCCACCTCCTCCTCACGGGGGGGGAAGACGTCTGCCAGCTGGCTCTGAAGGCCATCCAGGCCCTCGCTGCTGCAGAGCCCTGCCAGGTACACACTCACAGTGAATTCCATTTAAAAAGAGCTTTTTTACAACAATGAGCAGAAACATGTATGCCTAATATATATTTACATTTATTTTGAGGATGGCTTTCGCTAATTGTTCATTTTTACATGTATTTGTTTGATGTAAAATAAATAAAAATAATCTTATCAAATTGTGAAAGGCATAATGAGGCATAAGTTACAGTGCATTATCAGGAATAAATATTCAAAAATGTTTCTAAAAACAACAGATTTAAAGTTAGACAGACTGCTAAAAGGTTGTAAGAGATACAGTTTTTATCTTTACATAATACATTTCATTCATTAGTGAGGAAAATGTTAGTTCATTTATTGTGATTGATTAAATCTGTATTTCACTTTTCATAAAAAAAAGAAAGAAATAACACGGCTATGATAATGGACCCTGAACATAATCATACTATATTAACTCCATTTCAAATGGATCCTTTCTCTATTTACAATGAATTATTTCCACATTTACAAGACAACAAACAGAAAAAAAGACAACAAACAAAAAGAACAACTCGAAAACAATGACAAAAAAAATCGGAAATTACATCACTGCTAAATCAGATAATAAAATATTATGTATAATTTTTTATACTCCAATTCGTGGGCGTACATTTACCAAAGTGTTTATTTTCTTAATATATTTGGTGAAGCTGCAAAATTCCAATAAATAATAGTTATGGTAACCTAAAATATTCAGCACAAATGAGAAAAAAACATTGGGGAGGGGGTTAGCATTACTACTCTAATGCATCACATATTTTCTAAATCTTTATCGCTGTTTAGATGCAATCATGGACATTTTTTGTACTTTTTCTGCTCTAAATGTTATAAGTTAGCCATTAAAGAGGGATTATGCCCATTGAGACTTTAATTGTAAACAATATTTTAAAATATAAATACGCCGGAGCAGCGGGGGCGGTACTGCAGTCGCTTTACCGCACCGTTGTGACGAAAAGGGAGCTGAGCCAGAAGGCAAAGCTCTCTGTCTACCGGGCCATTTTCGTTCCTACCCTCACCTATAGTCATGAAGGATGGGTCATGACCGAAAGAACGAGATCGCGGATACAAGCGGCCAAGATGGGTTTTCTCTGCAGGGTGGCTGGTGTCTCCCTTAGGGATAAGGTGAGAAGTTCGGTCATCCGGGAGGGACTCGGAGTTGAACCGCTCCTCCTTCGCGTCGAAAGGAGCCAGTTGAGGTGGTTCGGGCACCTAGTTAGGATGCCACCTGGGCGCCTCCCTAGGGAGGTGTTCCAGGCACGTCCAGGTGGGAAGAGACCAAGGGGTAGACCTAGGACCAGGTGGAGGGATTATATCTCTTCGCTGGCCTGGGAGCGCCTTGGGATCCCCCAGTCAGAGCTGGTTGATGTGGCCAGGGATGCATGCATAACACGGCATAACACCGGAGCTTCGCTGCGGGTGTTCTGTCTGTAATCTGTCAAAAATGACGGAGTGCTTTCAGATTTTTCCGTCATTGTTAAAAACAATCGGTCATAGACGGAAAATATTCGGTTAATGAGACCACTGATCACATCATAATGTATCATATATTTCCTTATCTGAGTCAGCTTCTTGAGCCGTATCTGGCCGTGCAACACTCACAGTGTCACATACTGTATGCAGAAGTATTATTTTAAGCAACACATTAAGTTGACGAAACACTCGAGTCAAATGTAATTAAAGTCAGATCCACTCGTTTTTTAGATGGGGTGCCAGTGATATCATAAAACTGTTAATATACGCATTCAAACACTTTTTATTTTACCAGCTGTTCTGTATATACCTTGCAGGTAAAACTATGTTGCTTTTATCCTGGATAAAGTTTTTAAGTCGTGGATGTTTAAAGTTTAACTTCTTCATATTTGTCTAATATTATAGTTTACTTTTCATTCAGGAAGTATGACGCTGCGCTGTAAGTACACTTGTCCATGTTTGTGATTGGTCTAATGTTGCTAACCCCGCCTCTTTGACATGAACCCTGGGTTGATTTACCGAGTTGATAACCAGCGTCGTAGGACGGCTTAGCGAGATCGCATTTGTTAGGGTTAGTTAAGCCATATAACTCAAACATATCCAGGGTATGTTGAACTGGATTCGTAGTACAGGCCTCAGGTATGATAGAGCCATTACAGTTTGTCTCTGGTTGACACTGCATGTTAGTTGCCACCTTTATTTATATGTTTCATGGCCAGTGTGATCATATTAAAGATGCCTGTTAGTAAGAATGCAAACTTCTATCAATCAAACTGAATTGCTGTATCATGTTTTCAGTGTTGGCAGTAGGTACCCTGAGCTATGGCCTCTAAAAAGGGTCAACAGAGGCCTGCAAAAATAATAGGTATGCATTAGGTGAGTTATACTGGTCTAAGATATACTGGCATTAGTTTCCAAATGATCTGTGTATGTCTGGTTTACTGTAGGTTGACTGGAAGTATAGCAGCATCATGTTTTGTTGATATACTATACACCAAGCAAATAAATAGTTGAAAACACATTACTGATACTGCTTTTGTCACAATGGGAACACAACTAGAGTTCAAAGCCTAATTGTGTGACATACTACTGTCAGAGACAAGCTATGATGATATTTGATCAGTTTGGAAACCAAAAAAACTGATTATTAACTGAAGTTGTGTAGGAATAAGATATTTTGTTGTATTACTAACTACATCTTAAGAGAAGCAGAGGTGTGCTTGTCATCATAACACCGGGTTACGTATTG